AATTATTGACTAATAAATAAAATCAGGTTACTAGAGACAGATTAACAGAAAACTTTGAGATTTTGTTGCCTTTTTGTAGATTATGTAGCCCGACTGCCTGAGTAAGGAAAAAACTAAATATAACATAATGAGCTTGTGAAAGAAAGTTTTCAGTACTATTACTTACCGATAATATAATAGTTTGGAGGAAATCGTGATATGGTTAAGAGATTAGGGTTTATCTTTTTATTTTTTTCTTAAAGAAAAGGTAAACGTACAAGTGGATTGAGTTGATTTGGTTAACCAGCGATTTGAGGCTTCAAACCATGATCGAATCAAATAACTATAATTTTATTTAAAAGAAAATCAAACCAAACCAATTACATATGTTTGATTGGTTTGGTTGGTTTTTTGATTTTTTTGTCCAGACCTAATTATAAAATTCAAAAATACAAAAAGTCACGTGGTGAGATAGGATTCATCCCTTATTTAGTGGAGTCTAAAATCATATTCTTAGTAAATTTTAATAAAAGTTGATGAAATGTATAGTTGGATGTTGTGGATTCCTTGAAATATATGATTAAAATTAATTGTTGATTTTGAATTAAATTAAAATTTGAATTTTAATCCCTACCAAACATGGGATACGTTTTTGTTTATTTTAGCTAAAAGTAAAAAATTAACAGATTTGATAAGAATTAATGAAATGCGTGATTGAAAAGTTAATAAAAATTTTGAATACTATAAAATGTGTGATTAAATTTTGGAAAAAACATAAATTTCAAAAAATGGGATCAACATGACTAAGTAATTATGTAAACGAAATGCTTATGACGTACAAATAGCAAATTTTTTTAATTTAGAGTCAACAAAGTCAAAATCAAGCCCTTGTAGTTGATATTGTTTCATTTTTCAATTAAAAACGAATAATTTATATATAAAAAAAAACCGCCAATGTACATTAGCACGTATTAGAGCCCTGTTTGGCCCCTATTTTCTAAAAGTGAAAATCAGTGGAATAATGTTTTTTTGAAAAATGAATGATTGGAAAGTAGAATTTTTTTTCGATTTATGTATAATATTATTTTATAAAAGGTTGTGTGGTTGAAAATAAAAGAGAAAAATAAAATGTAATAAATTGAAAGTTAATGGGGGGCAAATGGGGGCTAGGAATTTCCCGCGTTCCATTAAGAAAAATTAAAATATTAGTTGGCACTTCCCAAAAACGTGAAATGGAACGCCAATCATTTGGCTTGCGGTCTGTTATTTTAAATTTCCACTATTTATCAGCACACTTCAAGATTTTCATTTCGCAAATTGTTTACCTTGAATATGATAGGAGAAACAGCAATGGAAGCCAAGAAAGTGAAACCCCGACGAAGAGGGCCAAGAAATCCTCACGAAAATGACGAGGACACGGTGAAGAAGGCGAGGAAAGCAAATGAAATCATATTGGCCAACAATAAGCAGAGCTATCGCCCGGAGCAAGTCATTGGAAGCTTGTAGTACGGCCTGGGTGAAAGTTTGCAGTCCATCCACAGGAAAAAGCTGCGGTGGCTGTTGGAGAAACTCCTCCTTCAACACAATTGGAGGGAGGCAACCGGCGTGCTTAGTGTGCTGCTCAAAGGAACTGCCGACGACAAGTCTCTATCTCATAATCGCACCAAGTATTTGGTATATCTTCCTTTTTGCAAGAATTCATTTTTTGAGTATTGGGTGTCATCAAAGTAAATTTTCTTTCTGTTTTCTACCCAAGATTTTAATCTCTTGAACTTGATTTTGGTCCTGTGTTATGACGGATGAGATTGAAGAACATAATTTTGGGCGATTCCAATGCTAAAATTTTTGTCACAAAGGAATTATGTCAAAGTTGAAGTGCTCCAATTCATACTGAGGCTAGAACGGATTGTTCAACTGTTTTTATGAGAAAAAAAATTTAAATTTCCATTCTCCTCTTTGGATATGTTGAAGTATTTGATAATATAGCACACAAGGATGCATAATCTCTCCGCATACATTATGGCAAGAGCCAGCTGATACTTTGTATTAATTATATGCTTACTGATTGATTTCTGACCTTCCTCTCTTTAGAGTTTTGGAAATCTTTTATCCATATGTAAGTACCCTTTGGCTCATTCATATCAT